AATCTGATTAAAAATGTTAATCGTTTGACAGCCCTAATATAAATATTTCACAGTGCCATGGTTTCCTGTAGATCTATGGCAAATCTTGACAACATTTCAGCAAAATGTCAGCAAAAGAACTGCAAATGAATGGTTGTTTCCATCTACTACCGTTATGCAATAAAAAGGCAGATGGTTCGGCAAAATAAGCAGTAGGTCGTTGCCAATGCTAAAAACAATACAAAATAAAATAATCCTTCATTTAGTATTTCCTTTTAATGTATTGTTTTTCCAATGCATTATTGGAAAGGCTGATCTCCCCAGTGACTCTAGAAAGCAGAATGTTAAAACAGTGGACAGATGGGTACATGTCATGTAATAGTAGCCATGGCCAGGTTGCAACAGTTGCATCTGGGAATTTCTCAATATGGTCGCAGGTCAAAGATCAAAGGTCACCAACTGACCATGATGTAGAGGATGTCTGTGTGATAAACCTCTTTTTTCACGCTGCTCTCTGATTTATTCAGTTCTGAGATGGCACAGAGGTTGACTCAGCCTGCTGCTGCCAGACAAAGGCCCTACAGTGCACTGGGTATTATTCAGAGCCCTATCTGCCTCGGGTCCATGAGATCATCACCATGCTATGTCTCCCTCACAGAAAAGGACTCACACTGAGAAAGATGCTATTCTGCAAGTGGAAGCTCTGCCTTTCTGATGGTGCACAGACAAGGGTAATATACACTGAATATACATGCACGCCTGTACACACACAGTTCAGTTGTTCATCAGAGAACAAGGACACACTCTCAGTGACTTCTTGCTGTTGTCTGGATCTAGCCATCATGGAGAGCATTACTTCCTATGTGGATGATCTGAACTGCCGTCTCCTTGTATTATGCCAAACTAAAGTTTAGTTTGTTTTTATTAGTATATCATTCGACTTTATAGACATAACATTTACACTTGAACCTTTATATCATTACTAAATCACTACTGAATGGCCACTGCTAATGTAGTTGCTAAAGGTTAAATGTAGCATGAACTGGACCTCTTTTTTTCATTTTAGCATTTTACTAAATGATACGACAACAAATAGCACACTGTAAATGCTTTTCCAGCATTGTTTTCTGAGAGAACGTCAGAACCATATTTTGTCTTCACTTTCTGTACTGCTCTGTTTAAACTGTTTAACTGCATGTGTACCTCATGCTAAATATTACAAATCTATACCTGCATATTAACATCAATCATAATTTAGTGCTATATTATGGCTGATGTCAAACTACAGATAGTAAACCTTAGTGATGACAGGTATGGCAAGTCTTCTATCCAAGACTCTTTTATATTCTGCCAAGTCAGTCAAATACATCTGAAATTGCCCTGGGAGTATTGGGCTTGTACCTTTATGCATGCACAGCCCGGGCAGAGTCACTTTTCAACCTCTGCAAAGCGTCATGCAACGGCTGTAATGTTGTGCCGTGAATTGCCATGGAAACCCCCCCCATATAAACAGCTGTGCAATGAATGACCCTTGCCTATTGGCACAGGCACAATATATATGTGTTCACTTACACACAATAACCTTAACATGTATCTCAGACATGAATCATAGTCATCTTCTCATCTCACGAGGGTTAAAAAGGGGAATTCCACTTCTTATAGGGCTGGTCCAAAATCATCCATGATTTACAGCTCATGCATGATGGGGCATATATATGTAATATAATGTATGTATGAGCGTCAGCAAGTCTGCACATTGATATTATGTCTCCAAAACTCTTGATAAAGTCTGGTAGAGCAAACAAAACAAAGGATCTTGTGAACCTTTCATATACAATTAAAATATAGGATGGGGATTTTCTTTCCTTATATCTCCTTATTATTCTAGCTGGTCATTTAGTTAGAATAATAAGGTATTTGGTACCAAGCACGGCTGAGAGAATAGACAGGATGTCTTCATTGGAAACTTTACAACAGATTATTTAACAGTTGTATCTAAAGAAGCGATTTCCCAAACAATATATATATGACTAAAAGTAGCAGTGACACTAAACTGAACCAAAGAGTATCCGTGGCCCCATTGGACTACATTCAAAGGCAGCTTTCAATTGAGGATTTGACAGCGTTATGTTTTAGTTAAATGAGCTAAAGCTACAACAGTTAAGTCCCTGATTGTGAAATAATGGAGCATTTCGTCAAAATTGTATACATAGAGCTCTGTGTTTCTCTGTCACCGCTGTTTAGCTATGTGTAAATTCAGATAACTGAATACGAAATGAAAAGTGGTGCGTGGCATAAATGCACAATCAGTGAGGTCAGAGACCACTGGCGAGATGACGACAGCAGACTGCATTTTAATGTTGCTCTTTTGCCCCATGAACACATACCCATTTAAACCACAATTACACTGAAATGTTGACAATTTGAATCCTTGTTTATTCTCACACATTCCCCACAAGCCTGACAAATGTATTGTTTCTCAGACCCATTGGTTGATTTGTAGATGAATAACAAATATAAGGGGGGGAAATCCCATAGGCGCACAAACAGGTTCTCTTTTCATAGATATTCCAGTGGAATGTCGAGCCTCTCATTAAAGGAAAGACGAACATGGAGTCAGGATTTAATGCATATGCTACAGACTTGTGCTTACATGAGCAGAATGTTACATGTATGCATGATTGTGGAGCCTATATAGCCGATCACTGTTTTGTCCACAAGTTCTTTCATATGCTCCAAAACATCCTGACAATAGCCACAATTGATTCATCATATCTGCTGAGCTCAACACAGACAATCCCACCACTGCAATGCATCTCTATGGGGCAGCCTCTCCCCTCTCACTCCCACCTGGTGCTCTGCTTCCCATCGTGGAAACAAAACTTGTATTACACTGTCGCTCCAGCTGGCCTGGATAGTGCATATCAAGAAGCTGCTGACAAACAGGTTCATACCTGCCTCTCATCAACCTGCGCAACATTGATAGCTGAACTTGTTTAACTCTACACAGCAAGCTTTGATGAACAGAAAAGAAACACGGATAACTTTTGAGACAATTATCTAAGAAATGTCAACCTCCACTTGAATCATTGTTTAATGTTAACAATGGATCAAATTACTTATAAACTTGAATGTTTTAGCAGTCACTCTAAATGAATAAATCATGAAGTTATTATCCAACTTCCTTAAACATTTTGGAGCTATGTTTTTAGCACATTTTAGTAAATTGTTTTGATATTATGGCCATCAACTTTGCTCTTTGGTTAACTTAATTTGACTTCAAGGAGCAGAAATAAAATCTCTGAAAACCCAGTTAATGTATAAAGGTAGCATTTAGATGGTGAACATAGTGGAATGTTTATCTGCTAAAGACTTACAGTCAAAAAGTGGACACAAGGACTCGAAAAAAAGGCCTATGATGTTGCATGTGTGCAGATGGTTTGAAAAAGTAGTTATTCCGAAAGAATATGATTTTTGAAAGGTCTCATTTTGAGATCTGTCTGGTTGTGAATAGCATTTGTCGTGATTTTCTGACATTTGTAGACTAAATTAATTAATGGATAAAAAACATACAACAACAAAATCAAGGAGAAAGTGATTTAGCAGCAGCCTGTCAGGGAATTACAGACTGTGTAAATAGTAAGGTGCTCCCCTGGGATCACCAGCCGACACCCTATGTTTTCTCCTGCCGTGTTTACACAAACACAAAGCTCTGATTGAAAGTCAGTCAAGCTAAATTCCTGTGTTTATACAGTATGTGTGTGTTGGGAGTGACAGGAGAGGATTTCTCCCAACAAGACTTCCTTCTTTAGACTTTGCAAACACACCAAATAGACTGCTAACATCCACATATACTGACAAGGTGATAAATGATGGCAAATGAGTATATCATGGATAATTGTATTGAATTAAAAAAAAGTTGTTAAAAGCTGCTGGAAATAAAATTAAAGTACTTTCCCATTTCCTTTCACCTCTAGTCAGCTAGGTTAAAAAATGTCCATTAAGTTGGACGTTATAATCACTCTCACATGTTTACCTGGCAGCTGGCAACAAGTCTATGAAAAGCACTCAAGTTTCTGCAGCTTTCAAAGCAGTAACATGATACCGCAACATCAGTTGAATTGTAAAAACACATCAAACTTAAAATCACTTGAAATGTCTGAAATGCTGGGTTGGGTCACACATAGGGTATGTGTTTATGCTGTTACTTCTAGCCTTGTCCAATTGTATTTGTTTTCAGTTACAATGTGGAACAATGTTATACTGTGCAGGGGGGCAACTGCACCCCTCCTAGAGAAAAACACATGGTGAGGAAAAATGTTTTTGTATTTCTTGCCACATCAACAGAAAACACAAGTTCTCCAGAGACATGTATGAAGAATTATCTGCTGGTGGTGTCCGATATCAAACAATGATTACTGCTTAATCTCAAAATATCTCACCACATCCAGATATTTGACTTGACTCGGGATGAGTGAGGTCCACTTTCTATAACAACAATCAAACTTTAGATGAGTGCTTGGTTCTCTGCCTCTCCAAGCAGCTGGAGGAGAGACCAAAGCAACATTATTTATATGTTCAATGTGCACTACCATTGTGTTTTAGATGAACACCATGAGGGGGAATTACAGGGAAAAGGAAGTGTTTTATACCATTGATTGGTTCTACACAAAGTGAATATAATCTGTAATATATAATGATAGCAAATTAAGTTCAATGATAGCACAACCTTAGAGATATGATAACTGTGTTTAGGTATGTTTTCTCCCATATGTCCCCAGTAAACCAGTTAAGTGGAAGCGTCAGTGAGGGTGCTGCAGTAGGAGGTGTGGGAGGAAGGAAACACAAGCAGTGGTTTTGAGATACGATTATCTCACAGTTTTGACAGCCACAAATGATCAATTAACATATAAAACAAACATGCACATATACATCTACCTTTGCAGACTGCAGAAACAGCGGCACAACTCCCACTAACATTAAGTCTTGCAGCAGAGTTTCAGGTTGAAAATTAAACTTACATTTGGTGCCGTTTGTTTCCATTCCGCTGCTGATGCTGTCCATGAGAGAGTTGTTGAAATATAATTCAGGCCCATGAGTGAGTGAAGGCGTGCAGAGCCTACGCTGACAGATACAGGAGATACACTACAGCCCGCTGCTCTGCTGGGTCCTAGCGCCTGGCGGCAGCTACTTCAGGGAGCTTCCATGAAGCTCCCTTTCCTCCCGTTCCTCCCTTTCCGGTGGAACTCATGGGACCTTATTTCGGAAAAAATATGTATTGAAGTCAATGGCGAGAGGAAACTTATCTTTCGATCCCGTTTGAATTGTGCCATGATGTTTGTCAATCTTAAAAAATAATTTCCATGTCAAAAAAGTCACAGTTTGTCGTAAAACTGTTGAAATATAAGACTATGAAAAATGGTCAACCAGCCTGACAAGCTAAATTTACCAGCCTGACCAGCCAGTAGATATTAGTCTGGAATGGTTGGCTGGTTTAGAGGGGTTTTGGACACTTTAGCTGGCCAGGATGGCTGGTGTAGCTGGTTTAGCTGGTTGGCTAAACCAGCTAAACCAGCCATCCTGGCCAGCTAAAACAAACAGCATACCAGATTGATTGTGTCATGTATTCTGGTATCTACCCAAATAAAAACATTGTAAAGTGATCATACTGTAACAGTATCTTAATTGAATAAATAGCAATAAATAGCTAGTTAATATAATAAAATACACAGTAACAATACAATAATTATACAAATAACAACCAGCCTACAAATCAACCTATACATCAACATAAATATATGATCTAAAACAGGTGCATTTGATTTAAAATAAAATAATAAATAGAATTCAATATTTAAATGGTAACAAAAACAGTAACACTATGTATGATAAGAAAAAGGCAACAAAGAAAGTGTTTTTAGTTTGTCCTTGTTCATGTCCAATGTTTCCCGTTGTGTAGCGTCCTGCCTTTCCCAATCTGGCCTGCATTTCTGTCTGTTGAAGCCACTTCTTGAAGCAAACTGAAAATAAATGTAGAGATATAGGTACACTGTAAAAAGAAAACGTGACATTTACGTTAACATTTGGGCTGCTGTGGTTGCCAGAACTTGACCGTTAAAGTACGGCAAAATACATTACAAATTACAGTTGGTTGGCATAGACGTTACAGTCAACAATTGCTTATGGTGAATTACAATGGCAAAAACAAATAGAGCTAGTGTACACGGTGCAGCTGTATTATCTGGGAAATAGAAGAATCGGATCAGGATTCGGTATTGGCAGACAATCAATATCAAATTAATCGGATCATTATTAGCATCAGCATTTGATCACCTTTGTCGACTTGCAGCCTAAATACAAAGATAATTCCACTCCTCTCCTACCACTCTTACCTCTAATAAGCCTTGGTAGAACTAGTGTCCGAGTCATTGGGTCCAGAACTGACTGAAGACATGTGGAACCAGACAGGCATGGTTCCATGTACAGGAAACTGGAACTTTGAACAGGAGTTTTCGTCTTTTCTGTTATTGATCAGGTGTTTGATGTGGGCTGGCATGATCCTTTCTGCAGTGATGAATAAAGAAAACAAAGAAAACATTATTAATAATAGTAATGATGGTAACTAACAACTATTTATATAACACTTACACAATTGCAAAGTGATTTCTCACAACAAAAATAAAGAACAAAACAATACCAACAATAAAAAAACAGAATGTTTATAATTGATTTGTCTCTTAACTTTAAGAGGCCGATTACAGAAGGTAGACTCAATGGCTCTTGATGACATCAATGAGCAGTCCCAATAGATGCTGTTGTATACAAATAAATAGAATAGGTCCAGATTTCTTCTATTTTATGTTGGATGATTTGTTTTATTGATTGCTGATGGATGTTAAGATGTGTTTTACAATTATAACAAAAATATTATTGTAATTAATCAAAAAGATCCAAATCATAGTTTTAATAAAATCACTAGCAATATAGGGTTTATTCAACAGCAGTAAAGCATTAAGTTACTAAATTAACGTACACTGACCTGTAAAACAACTTACCACTATTTAGGAAAGGCTCTGATCAGAGGGGTTGACTAGTAGGACAGCAAAGAGGTGGAGGAGGTCATGTACAACCATTGGTAGATGTTACACGTGAAAGAAAGATAAGGAAATAAGACAACACAGGAGGACAAACAATAACTTGCTTTTGGCATTGAAATGGATTAGAATCTCACCTTTTTCCTGGATGTCAGGAAGGCCAGGAAGTTGTTCCCTTCAATTCCGCGACCATAGGAGTTCAAATGCAAAGCCTAAACGATGACAAGAGCGGGAGACTTACATTTTACAATTATATTTTTAATTAATACCAGAGCAGTGTATACGACATGCAGAGAACAGATCCAATCCCCTGACAGACTCACACACTTCATGATGTCCTCATCTGATAATGTTTCATTTTTTAGCAGCAAAGTAACATTACTCAAAGTATCGGACCCAACTCATTTACAGTATGTTTTGCATCTCCTCAGGTAGATTAACACACATTTGAGAGAAAAGTTTACGATGAAGCACCCTCTTTGTATTAAACGAGCTGCCACAGAAAGTACAGCTTAACATGCTAACCTTTGGTAAACCTTTGGGTTTGTCGCAAAGCGGACAGGCGTCGTCACAACAATAGCTGGGGATTGTGGGTAGTGTAGTCTCTTTGGCGCTCCACATTTCAGAGAAAACAAGTTGTTTCTCAGAATTGAAGGGGAAAAACACAAAAGCATTGTACAAAATGTAAACCTATCAATGTCGTTTAATTAACAAGGATAATCTGGTGGTTTTGAGTTGATGAGCGGTGGAGATATCACTGTCAAATCAATCGACAGTAAGGAGAAAACTTACTTCGGGGTGTACAATTATCCGTTATCCAATGGGAATGGACGCTCACATTGCCTTTAAGAGCTGCCGACATAAACGAGTGCGGTGCTTCCATGAGCGTCAAATACCGCCGCCGATGGGAATACATTGCAATCAGTTGAAAGCTCTTTGCGTCCGTTTATGAAGCTGAAGGAGCCTCGGCGCGTCCCAACTGCACGCCACGGGGTCCCTGACCAAGCGTCACTCCTGGACGTTTAGGGAGTGAGAGTGTGTTGATCTGGGGGGGCGCTGCGCTGGTAGCTCTGGGAGGGAAAAAAACATTTTTGACCGTTGGTGCTCATCCTAATTTTTTGGCCTTGACAATATTCATAATTAAGTAAATGTAACACCCTTTTCACCCCGGTTACACTTTTCATTTGTCCTGTACGATGGGCGCTGTAAGTGATGAAAGTGGGGGATGTTGGCTTATCAGGCGCCCGCAGCTCACAGCCAAAGTGCGAGTGAGCGTGGGAGCGAGCGAGGGAGAGAGAGAGGGCGCACCGGTACCGGGCGCTGTTGTTATTAGCATCTGGTGCTAGCTGCGCTAACAGATATAAGAAGAAGATGTTTCTACAACCAGGGTGGAGGAGAGCTCTCCTGTCAGACTGAGAGGCTCAGTGAGGTAAAGGACTCTCTGAGTGTTCAGATAGTTCATTTTAGTCTAAGTTATCTCAGTGGGTCTCAAACATTTTGATCACAATTTATGTAAACAAATATTTCCAAGGCACTCCTTTATAATTATTGGGATAAACAGGTTTGAAATCATTTCAATGTATACTATAGGATAGTAAACCAAACATATCATTTAAAACTGGAGAGATAAACAAATATGCATAAATAAATAAATGTTAAGGTAAAATAAGATATGAATGGACAACAAAAATAAAATAAGTTACATTTATTTGTTATTGGCTATGGAAGGTTATTGGTTATGTTCACATACTTATTTGATTATTAAAATGTAAACCGATCTTTTTCATATGGGTGTTTTAATTTCGGCCCGCAGGATAATTTTTAATTACTTTTAGATCTGGCCCGGTATATTGCACGCACACCTTCACTCAATCCTGAGGATTTCCTCAACTCAGAGCCTGACCCCAAACATTGATGAACTTGCACCCAAGATAAGATGCCAAGTATCTGTCTTGAACTAGCATCACCGAGCAGCACACTGAGTTTAAATTTCCTTCTGCACTTTTTTTCTTGCGACAACAGGGCATATTGGTTTTTTTGTTGAGGGAAATAATTTTTTTGAAGCTGTTGTTGGCTTGTGGAAAAATGTAATCATAAGAAATGAGAGAGAGCCATAACAAATGAATGCAACTGATTGTTTAATGTTTAATGTTGTTTTTATAGGAAATTATGTAAGCTTTGTTAGTTCCAGGTTTAATATGTGCAATAAGTTCATTTCAATATATTTTGCAATAAACATTGAACCAGTCCGGCCCTCGACTAGTACCGATTTTTTTTATTTTGGCCCACTGTGTATTTGAGTTTGACACCCCTGCCCTAGAGGATGTGATGTCCATTCCCCAATTCAAGCATGTTCACAATACTGAATACATTTGAAGCCTTTTTGATGTATATTACCTATGTCAATAAGTTTCTGTTTTTGTAGTGTATCTGTCTTTGGTAGAGATTTTTCATTTATTCTTTATATATTCTATTGGGGGGGGGGGGGGGGGGGGGGGGGGGGGTGCTGCATCCACCCTAACTTCTTGCAGATGCTATTATTGTTTAGTCTCTTCGTGTCCCCTCAAACTCCCAAACCATGGCTGTGAGTGCCAGCAGCTCCTCAAAGGACGCTTGTTGATTGGTCGGATGCGGGCTGCTTCCCTTTATCCAATCCAATCCAATCCAACTTTATTTATATAGCACTTTAAAACCTTCAGACTAAAGTGCTGTACAGAGAGATAAGCTCACACAACATAATATAAATACATTTAAAATACAAGATACAAACACAAAACAAACCAGAATAAACGTAATAATAAAAAAATAAATAACAGTCATATAATAAAAACAATAGACCACTGAAAGCAAATAAAAGCAACAATCTACTTGTTTCTGAATGCTAAGGAGAAGAGGTTGGGTTTTAAGACGGGATTTAAAAGCAGACAGTGTGGGAGCCTGTCTGATGAGCAAGGGCAGGTCGTTCCACAGTTTAGGGGTGGCAGCAGAGAAAGCACAGTCCCCTCTGTGCTTAGACTTTGTTTTTGGCACGTCAGGAGCAACTGATCAGCTGACCTGAGAGTGCGAGTGGGCATGTAATGTAACAGCTCAGAGAGGTAGGGCGGGGCCAGGCCATTGAGGGCTTTAAAAGTAAATAAAAGAGTTTGAAAATGAATCCTCAAATGAACGGGCAGCCAGTGGAGTGAAGATAAAATGGGGGAAATGTGCTCGTATTTGCGTGTGCCAGTTAGTAGCCGTGCTGCTGCATTTTGCACCATCTGCAGGCGAGCAAGGGAGGATGCACTTATCCCCATATATAGTGCATTACAATAATCCAAGCGGGAGATGACGAAGGCATGGATTTATTTTTCAAAGAGGTCACTATTTAAAAAAGGCTTTATTTTGGCT